TGCAGAGGAAAGGAGAAGTCAATAAATAGGATTGACAAAAGATAGAACTGAAAGCTAAGCCAGTTGCAGCATCTACTGTCAAATACCTTGTTACCTCTGAAAAGGCCATTGGCATGACAATATTACTTATTTATGTTGCAAATTATTCACTCTTAAAAATGTACATAAAACACACAGAGCAAGCAGGCACACAATAAAGCAAATTCATAAGCTACAAGGATCTAAATATCACACGTGCATATATTTTTATATAAGTAGACCAAAGAAAGCTCAAAGGGATAAGAGCCATTGAGAGAGATTAAGAGTAACCGTCAGTGTTAACTCCAGAAGTCAACATTCTAATTTTAATATAATTTTTTAAGAACAATTATAAAGTTACATAATTGATGATACGTAATAAAAAATGGTGCTTAAGGAAGACTGTTTCCTGTGTCCTCTAAACTGTCCCTTAACACAGTGGTTCTCAAATGGGGGTACGCGGACCCATAGGGGTACGTTGGAGTACTGCAGGGGGTACGTGAGATTTATTTTATGTTAATGAAAAAAAGTAACGAAGTTTGAGCAGTGTGGGTTTTATATTAACAGAGTTACACATATTTCAAAACGCGAAGTGTAATAACTGCAGTGGCCTTCCTGTCACTGAGAATAACAAAGATCCTCAGTGAAGCACAAGCCCATGTTTCTCAATAAATTGTAAGTACAACTTTTAAAAAGATCAGTTCAATGCAACTAATGTCCTCTTGGTGTTATTGCATGATGTTAAAATTGGTTTGCCATGAATTAAGTGATGGATTGTAAACATTTGAAATGTAGTTACAAGGTTGTTGTTTTAATAAATCAGACACTGATGGTGCAGCACTGTACCTCTTTATATAAGCATTTATTCACTAAAAAATAGTTTTTGCGCTGATCAGGGGGTACTTGGCTGAATTTTTTTTTCAAAGGGGGTACATTATTGAAAAAAGTTTGAGAATCACTGCCTTAACATATACCACATTTAGCCTGAATAGTCTTGAGACACTTTATCCCCAAACATGTTGTCTGTAAAAGCTGGAGGACTGTTGGTTTTGTACATTTAACTAAATGCTTTGTTACATCTTAATTGTCAGTGAAAGTTACCAGTGTGCTCTTATGTTGACATCAACCAAAATCAATGGAGAGTTTTGTTTCCTGAAAACTGTGCTGCTACCTTCTTCTGGGTGAACTACATTTTTCTATTGGCGAGACCCACAAATCGTTACAACTTGCAAGGCGATGGTAATGTAACCGGAAATGTAGAGGAGCTAATCTCTTATGTATTGCCAGCTGGCCACTACTGATGCATGACTGTTCCACTGTTAGGCCTACCTTACCACCACATTGACTGTGGCTTCTGCAATTATGTTAGATGGTACAAAATATTGTATGTTAAAAAAAATGCTCCAATGGATACTGTAATGGAAATTGGAGCAAGGAGTCGAAACACAATGAAAACACGGTAGAGCTCGAAGTCGATGGCAAGCGCTGAAGATTTATTTGAAGTTACAGCCTGAGAACTGACAAAGACATTTGCTGCAGCAACAAAGTGACACAGCTCCTGCTCAACCAATTCTGAAGATCTCCAATTTGTGTAGTTCAAGACAAAACTATCCTCAAGGAAAGAGAGAAAGCGGCAACCAAGGTTGCATGCCTGAATTCCTAACTATAGGAATAGAGTGATAAACTACGTGAAAAGCAGATACCTTGGCAAATATTTTCCTCAACAGATACATTCCAGTCAAAGTATTTTTTAAATCACAATTTTCAAAACTAAACAAAAGAGAAAGAATAAGGACACACAGCAGGTTGATCAACCCCCTTGTACATTTTGAGCATTCCATTTGAATCAGTGGAACGTTCATAGTTCACCTTTTGGTTGTTGAAAGTTTAAACATTGAAATACTTTAGCAAGTTTTGGCACAAGATGGAAAATTAATAACATGCATTGTAACATGATCTGTGATTGTTGGTCACGACCGATTGTTTTCATAAGTCGCCTAATGGTGCATCATTTTAAATGTTGCGGGAGCAAGGTATTGTGGGACTGCTCCTTCACCTTTCCTTGCTTAATGGTCCAGTGTATCCTATGCTAAAGGAGATAAGGGAAGAATTGAAGCCCCTTTTCTTATCTACAGAATTCAAACAGGTTTTATCATGGCTGCCACTTACTGTAGGTACTTCCGGTTCCTTTCACTCTGTTAGGAACCTTTCTGCATTAAAAAAAGACACCAACCTCTACACCAACCTATGTCTCACCAGAAGAAGAGGGGGTCGTCCCTCTAGGGAAGCCAAGACAGAGGAGACAGACAAAGATATCACTTAAAAAGCAGTACCTCTGTCTCTATGCTCTATCTCTTCTTGCCAAAGGGGACAGACTTTCCAAGTTGCCCATAGCTCAAGGTTTTTACTTTCCTCAGCAGCACCAACAAAACAGAACATAGGTAGAATTTAGCTTCTACCCAACAAAGTCCTCTAGCAAAACAATAGGACAAGTTGCTATCTGGCAAAGAGCTCTCCCCAAAGTTGTTGCTGACAACTTATA